TAGGCTGATATTTACTCTGCAAAATCTTTTAGATGTGAATGTGTAAGTTGTCCATTCGAATGCTCGCTTGACATTCTTGCTGTGTAGCTGCTGCTTTTCTGTGTTGGAATTATAATGTCGCTTCCTCTATCAGGTCACCATGAAGTAAAAAAAATGGTAGTACCGCCAATACCTCCTCGCCATTTACAATTTTTGAAGTCTCTTCAAACCTACCTCTTCAACATATGTCTTGTGTTTGCTTCACCGAATCCGGTACGTTTTGCGTGGTCCTTTTACTTCTTCCATGGGGCTTGGCGCATTTACAGGAAGTGCGTGTCAAAATGATACTTTCAACCTCATACGTGTGAGCCGATTGCACTGCGCTAGCCAAAAAGTGTACTTGCTCTAAAAACTCTTTATCTTTCAAAAATAGCATTTTCAGGCATCCTTTGATGCTCGGCAGATTTAGACGTCTTTTGCAAACGAAAGGTCCAAGATGTTCACTTTTTGCGACCCCAGTAGTTTTTTAATACTACACATGCGCCTTTTACACACTAACCGCGGACATTTTTTAGGCATTGATGAAACTCCTCGAAACTCCAGAGGAAAAACGTGCCCGTAGAATTTCAAAGAAAGAGGCAAAAGAGCGTTTCAGACGAGAACGAATGGGCTGGGGCAAAGAGTACCTGGGTTACACAAATGACGATAATCCTTTTGGTGACCGCCGGCTTTCGGAGACATTTGTTTGGAAAAAGAAGCTTGATACAAAAGGCCTCTCTCATCTCGATCACGACACCATTCAGCAACTTCAGAGCAAGAAAATGGAGGAAAATAAGTTAGAATTAGAGGCTGTTAGGAGACGGAGGCTCGAACGCGAAAAAGAAAAGGAAGAACGCGAAAAGGAGTTGGAACTTTTGCAGAGAGATAAAGAGGCAGAATACTACAAGTCCTGGGAACAACAGGAGGACACTTTCCACCTAGAACAGGCGAAACTCCGATCAAGAATACGAATAGCTGATGGTCGGGCCAAGCCTATTGATTTACTCTCGAAGTATATTGCGGATCAGGACGAAAATAACTCAGGCACATCGGGTGGAGATATTTCAAGTGCTATTGAACTACTTGAGCCAACACAATTTCTAGTTGGACTTGGAATAGAGGACCTAGAAGACCTGATTGAAGACATCAAGGTTAGTAAAATGCCAATTAATTTATTACTTGACTTATTACAACGCTTTAAGATTTGGTGTGATGTCAAGATCCCTGAGTGACATTGACAAGCTTTCTTGCTCATTTTACCTTCGTATTCTTACGTGTTCATCGCCATTAAGAAAGTTTGTGAACCCCTTCTTTTTACATAACTCCTATTGCACTGGCTTAGTCAGCGATTTAATTTTCTAGTAAGTAATTTCGGTGTGTTCAACTGACTGAGGCTTTAATTGCTTTTGCACTTGCCTGATATGTTTCTACCTTCAAGTACATTGGAATTTTTACACCGGCAGAATATTCTCGTCCCATTTAGCCAGTTAAGCCTTTACAGAACTTAAAAATATGCCAATTATATCAAGAAATCATGGCGGATTAAATTGGCAAGTTCAAGCTTATTTGTCGTTAGTAGCCATCAATATTTCAGCCCCAATGTTACTCATCCCAGGTTTGAACTCGGGGCCGATGGATCATTAGAAATTTAGGGTCAACCTCATAGCAGTTTCAGCTCTGATCAGGAATATAAATTGCCTCCACGAAGATGTCGTCCATTTATTTGCCCTGATTAAAATATAAAATCTGGGGCTCCTTGGCCGCAGTTCAAGTCTGCATGTAATCTCTGTCCATATGTCGATATTTTAACAGAATTTTAGAACCCCACGGTTTTGCCAGTGTTCGCCGCAGAGTGGTGATACATTTAGGAATAAGTCACTCTGTACAAGCCCTTTATGATCTATGCCTTAGCAAAGGGAATTATATAATCGTTTTTATATTGGAACAACTTGTCGAAGCCTTCAACTTCTACGCTTTGAAGTACTTGCACTGTGACCATACTTTGCATTTTGTGCAGGTTGTGTACATGGAGCTAGAAAAGGGCCAGAATGTGGAATACTGGCGGGACATAACGGTGGTCGTTGAGGACGAGTTGCGACAACTGCGTCAGACGGAGGTATCTTCTTCCAGCGCTCGTGGTGGCGGCGGTGAGACCAGCGCTGCAGCCAGAAGTTCAATGATGAATATCAGTCAGTCAGTTCTGCAGTCTGTGGCGGCTACTCTAAAGGGCAAATCTTACAGCCAGTTAGAGGCTCTGGAACGCCAGGTAAACATTACAGTTTTTTGTATTTATTCGCCTCTTGTTTATCTACTTGCTAGTATATCCTCTTTACTCTAATTAGTCTCGGCCATACCTAGCGTAGTGGTATGCTAAATACCTGTCAGTCTTTCTCCGGACTGCCCATAGGGTCTCGACACATCTTTATCGGTTTCCGAATCACAACCTCTTTCCTTTGGGGACACGTTATCCACTGTTTTGTTTTTGGTAGGATCACCTACAGTTTCCTCTAGTTCCGGGAAACTTTTTAATGTGCTGCCTTACTAATCAAATCCGAGCTTTCGCAACTTTTCTTCCTTTTCAGGTATTTAGTTTCTTAGATTTACCACGGGTGTTTGTCGATGTAAAATGCGTTCCGACGTACATTAACTTATGCGGTATACGTTCTAAGTTAATCGAGCTTTTTAATTTATGCACGTTATTACATAACTGCCCGTAATGGTTTCTTGTTTGGGTTCTTATTGTGATGTGGTCCGTCCAATATGACAGTCAAGAACCACCACTGCTCCACGCCACAGAGGATTCACATTTAAATTGGTTTATAGTTAGAGATATCTGAGCAGCACATAACTGACTTCCTTTAAACACTCATTGTGTTCCAATAACGACAAAAATTCGACCATAGTAAGGAGGGACACACTTGACTAAATCGAATGCAGATCATACGCGCTCTCAAGCCGAACCTCAACAAAGGAACATCGGATCTGTCATCGAACATAATTGTTGTAAGGATCATATTACAAGTAGTCATTTCAGTCTCACATTCTGCTCTATCGGAATTCAGGCCTTCCGCCACAGATGTTCGAGGAGTCTGCGGATCCTCCGAGTATCTGTACATATCCACGTCTAAATCCTTTTTTTTTCATGATAGAATATTCAGGAAAAGTGATGCATTTCGTCTCCTAATAAAAGTTAATCACTCAATGGATCTGCTACACATTTCCTGTGACACAGAGGCGTTAACTAGCTTCTGCGGCAAATGCTCTGTCCAGCTATTGGTTAGATTCCGCAAGGAAACCCTGAGCTCCTTAAAAACACCAGTTGTCAAAACATAGTGGTTTTATCTTAATGTGTCGAACCTCTCTGGCCCTCGGCACGCTCGATTGACCAAATTGACGCACTAATTAAACTACGGCAAAACTGTCTTATAGGCCATACTAAATATAGACTGCCTCCGCCCAACTGTCTGACGTATTTTGTTGTTGAACATTTAATTCTTGGTTAGTGAGTGTAAATTAATATTTAATTGTGGTGTAAGTGATCAACAAATATTAAATTACAGAAACTTATGATTGAATGTACTAAATAGAATTAATTCCATCAACATAAACTCCTGTTGCTCAGGATACTAATGCTATTTGAGAGAAATCCAACCTTTTATTGGCTTAATTTAACGAAAAGAGTGAAAGTCGAGTTACTGAAAATGTAAAAGTAGCTTATTGTTATAAGTCAAGGGCAAAACGGACCTCTTAAGACAGTCCTGCCAAAAATACAAACACAGGAACAAGTATTTGGATTTCATGACTGTTTATGTGCATTGTTTCCTTTGTAAGAAATTAGACTAACAGGGTGACCGAAGCATACATCTTTTTTAACTGGCATTTTTAATCACAATGCATAGGTTTGTGTTCAACAGCAGACTAATTAAAACATATTGAGTAGTTTGCAAAAAAGTATCTAAGACTATTTCCTACGCAGCAGTTATCGTTTTTTACGTTAACTTATTTATTGGCCATCTACGACGCTAAAAGCAAGTCCGTTAAGCATCTGCGTGCCCCACAGCAGGATGTGTGCAAGGACGATGACTTGCGCATGGGAATAGACTTATGATACCTCTACCGCACCCTCTCCCCCTTCCCCACCTGGACCCAGTGTTATGGCCAAGTCAAGAAGACCGGGAGAGGGAGATGGCGCGGCCGAGGCTGCTCCTAAGCCTGCCACCACATCCGCTTCCGGTTCCCCGGGAGTGGAAATACCATAGATGACATTTTGAAAGCAAGCCACTGCAGTCTGACTCTCAGTCCGTCAGTCGGCAACTCCGCACACTCGGATGAGAAATGCAACAGAGAAGCCACTCGAAGAAAGATCCGCGGATCACACATCGGGACTTAAGATGCTTCGTTTGTGAGTGTGCATCGTGGAATGTGGAACGCGGTCGCGTGTGATTTTGGTGTTTATTAGGATAAGAGCGGTAGCGTGGTATGGCCTGCAGTGTTCTGTTGCGGGCTGTCG